GATGAGACAGCAACTCTGCAGACAGCCAACTGAAATACAACCCAGTGCAATGAGGTTGACAGACCCACTGCTCCCTAACATAGGTATAATAGGAGACAATGCAATGAAGTCGACAGACCCACTGCTCCCTAACATAGGTATGATAGGAGACAATGCAATGAAGTCCACAGACCCACTGCTCCCTAACATAGGTATGATAGGAGACAATGCAATGAAGTCCACAGACCCACTGCTCCCTAACATAGGTATGATAGGAGACAATGCAATGAAGTCCACAGACCCACTGCTCCCTAACATAGGTATGATAGGAGACAATGCAATGAAGTCGACAGACCCACTGCTCCCTAACATAGGTATGATAGGAGACAAGGCAATGAAGTCCACAGACCCACTGCTCCCTAACATAGGTATGATAGGAGACAAGGCAATGAAGTCCACAGACCCACTGCCCCCTAACATAGGTATGATAGGAGACAATGCAATGAAGTCCACAGACCCACTGCCCCCTAACATAGGTATGATAGGAGACAAGGCAATGAAGTCGACAGACCCACTGCTCCCTAACATAGGTATGATAGGAGACAATGCAATGAAGTCGACAGACCCACTGCCCCCTAACATAGGTATGATAGGAGACAATGCAATGAAGTCCACAGACCCACTGCCCCCTAACATAGGTATGATAGGAGACAATGCAATGAAGTCGACAGACCCACTGCTCCCTAACATAGGTATGATAGGAGACAAGGCAATGAAGTCCACAGACCCACTGCCCCCTAACATAGGTATGATAGGAGACAAGGCAATGAAGTCGACAGACCCACTGCTCCCTAACATAGGTATGATAGGAGACAATGCAATGAAGTCGACAGACCCACTGCTCCCTAACATAGGTATGATAGGAGACAAGGCAATGAAGTCGACAGACCCACTGCCCCCTAACATAGGTATGATAGGAGACAATGCAATGAAGTCGACAGACCCACTGCCCCCTAACATAGGTATGATAGGAGACAATGCAATGAAGTCCACAGACCACTGCCCCCTAACATAGGTATGATAGGAGACAAGGCAATGAAGTCGACAGACCCACTGCTCCCTAACATAGGTATGATAGGAGACAATGCAATGAAGTCGACAGACCCACTGCTCCCTAACATAGGTATGATAGGAGACAATGCAATGAAGTCGACAGACCCACTGCCCCCTAACATAGGTATGATAGGAGACAATGCAATGAAGTCCACAGACCCACTGCCCCCTAACATAGGTATGATAGGAGACAATGCAATGAAGTCCACAGACCCACTGCCCCCTAACATAGGTATGATAGGAGACAAGGCAATGAAGTCGACAGACCCACTGCTCCCTAACATAGGTATGATAGGAGACAATGCAATGAAGTCGACAGACCCACTGCTCCCTAACATAGGTATGATAGGAGACAAGGCAATGAAGTCGACAGACCCACTGCTCCCTAACATAGGTATGATAGGAGACAATGCAATGAAGTCCACAGACCCACTGCTCCCTAACATAGGTATGATAGGAGACAATGCAATGAAGTCGACAGACCCACTGCTCCCTAACATAGGTATGATAGGAGACAAGGCAATGAAGTCGACAGACCCACTGCTCCCTAACATAGGTATGATAGGAGACAAGGCAATGAAGTCGACAGACCCACTGCTCCCTAACATAGGTATGATAGGAGACAAGGCAATGAAGTTGACAGACCCACTGCCCTCTAACACAGGTATGATTTGAGACATTGCAATGAAGTTGACAGACCCACTGCTCCCTAACATAGGTATGATAGGAGACAAGGCAATGAAGTTGACAGACCCACTGCTCCCTAACATAGGTATGATAGGAGACAATGCAATGAAGTTGACAGACCCACTGCCCTCTAACACAGGTATGATTTGAGACATTGCAATGAAGTTGACAGACCCACTGCTCCCTAACATAGGTATGATAGGAGACAATGCAATGAAGACCACAGACCCACTGCTCCCTAACACAGGTATGATTGGAGACAGTGCAATGAAGTCGACAGACCCACTGCCCCCTAACATAGGTATGATAGGAGACAAGGCAATGAAGTTGACAGACCCACTGCTCCCTAACATAGGTATGATAGGAGACAAGGCAATGAAGTCGACAGACCCACTGCCCCCTAACATAGGTATGATAGGAGACAATGCAATGAAGTCCACAGACCCACTGCCCCCTAACATAGGTATGATAGGAGACAATGCAATGAAGTTGACAGACCCACTGCTCCCTAACATAGGTATGATAGGAGACAATGCAATGAAGTCCACAGACCCACTGCCCCCTAACATAGGTATGATAGGAGACAATGCAATGAAGTCGACAGACCCACTGCCCTCTAACATAGGTATGATAGGAGACAAGGCAATGAAGTTGACAGATCCACTGCTCCCTAACATAGGTATGATAGGAGACAATGCAATGAAGTCCACAGACCCACTGCTTCCTAACATAGGTATGATAGGAGACAATGCAATGAAGTCGACAGACCCACTGCCCCCTAACATAGGTATGATAGGAGACAATGCAATGAAGTCGACAGACCCACTGCTCCCTAACATAGGTATGATAGGAGACAATGCAATGAAGTCGACAGACCCACTGCCCCCTAACATAGGTATGATAGGAGACAATGCAATGAAGTCGACAGACCCACTGCCCCCTAACATAGGTATGATAGGAGACAAGGCAATGAAGTCGACAGACCCACTGCCCCCTAACATAGGTATGATAGGAGACAAGGCAATGAAGTCCACAGACCCACTGCCCCCTAACATAGGTATGATAGGAGACAACAAAGTCCGAGTGTATCTGCCTGACAAGTGGGGAACCAACAGTGCATATAAATAAGTCAGATCTTTAAAACTGACGTAAAATGCAAAATATGGGATCAAGACCAAAGTGCAGAAGTGTACACAACAGCAGAAATGTCTCCTGGAGTTGACAGCTGGTGAACGCTCAGAAACAGACAAACAAAATCTGCCGCAGGTGCTGGTCATTCTGACAATGTGTGTTTTCTGTAGAGAGCCTGGAGTTTATTGTCATGACTTACACTTGTGACATGTACTAATGTTACCACCACTACTTGATTCTCTAATCTACAACTGAAAGACTTAAAGCTGACTGCTTCAAGATAGCCCACATGAGCACATGACTGAGAGCTCAAGGTTGTCTACAGAGCAGTCTCACAGAGTGGGCAATATCCCCTCTCTCCAGATTAGTTTAGGGGCAGGGCTGGAAAATCCACAGATGGAGGGGGGGGGGGGGGTAACAATCCAAGAGAAGAGAGAGGGCAAGTATAGTAGTAGTTTTTTGTTTAAACATGTAAAGTACATTATCCAGAGATTTGAGAATGCTTCAGACAAAAACATCGCAGAACCTTCATAAACTGGCTCTGCTGCTTAGAGGCTAGTGCCACTGTTTTACCATCTAATCCTCAATATTCACCAGGGTTCGGACCCCATGGTGTCCAGCTAAGAAACATATCAATGTCATGGCTTTTAGACAGTGGCATGAGACTGGCATCAAGGCAGAGACTGAGGCAGTGTCACTTTATAGTTCTAGCGATAGGAGAGGATGCCCTGCAACCAAGCTTCATCACTGGGGATCTTCACAACCAAGTGGTCAAGCTGTCTGCCTCATGCCCTGAAGGTTGTGGGTTTACTTCACGGCTGCACCGTTCTGTTCAAGCAATTTTTACGAAGATCCCTGGGATACATCGCTGGAGCTATGAAGTTCATGCTTTGTGCAACTCTCTCGGGAGGTGGCTAGCTGTTCCCTGGAGAACAGCCGAACCATATAGGATAAAACCCGGTGCAATAAAGGTAATCCTCTTGACCTTACCTTTGATTTCACCGTGACGAAGGCAAATGCTAATTTTTATGCTGATAACAGTGCACCATGTTTTCTCTTTCGTTAACATTACTGTCAATGTTATGCTTGGTTTTTATTTTGATATTATCATTCAGTATCTTAATTTTGTGTGTATGTTATGCATATATTATTTTCTGATTAATAACAATGTACAAATTCAAGATATATTTTTTTTTTATTGTGTAACAATATGTAGGAAAAATTATAAAGGCATATAAGAAAGCAAACTTGTTACTGCATTATTCCACAACCGGATTCTGCACAATGAGTAGTGAATATTCTGTCATAGAAATAACATTATTTTGAAACTTTCTACTTTTTATACACTTGCAAGACTGACAGGCAGGCATCACCATAATGGATCTTTATTTGTCAGTGAATTACCACAGATTTTAACCCTTCAATAATAATTTTAAAAAAAAATAACAGACAAGAGATTGCTGTTTATTTGGTGCAAGTGAAAAGTGGGACAGCCATCGTTAACCTGTCATTAGGACATCAATGTGTTTGTCTGATCTGTGATGACATGTGCTTAACACTGCTGACATCCTTAACAACAATATTGACAGGTTACAAAACAACAGAATGGATATTCTAATGTCTGTCCCATTTATAATGTTTTAATCTGAAGCACCCTTATAAAAGAAGATAATTTATAGACAGAAAACTTGCAACTATTTTACTGTTAATTTTTGCACGTTATTTACTGTCAGAAAATTAATAATCATACCAAATACATAGTAGGTGTGGAACCAGGTTAGCGGGGTTTGTTTAGCATGTTGTGACCAAACGTGAAAAGTTATTTTTTTTAAAGAAATGCTTGGTTGATATTCGAAGTGAAAAACCAGTGACACATCATCCTCTGTTGCTTGGAATCAAAAGAGTTGAAACTGCCAGTCTTGTCAGTGATTGAAAACATGACCTGTCTGTGGTGTCTGACGTGGACATTCTAACCCCTGAGCTACATGCGCTTTATCCATTTAGATCATTTAACAGTACACAAATTCAAACAAACAGCAGCTTCCAAAAAACCATTAGGTCCATGTGAAAGATTGTCTTAAGCTTCTTACCTTGAGAGTCGATATCTTTGACCAGCTGAAGAAATCTCGGATCTCTCCTCCAGTAGTCTGGTGCCCAACCTCCAGGGATTATCAGAGCAGACAGATCCTTGAAAAGAGTATATAGAAACTACATTCAAAATATGAAGCAGTTTCTCATTTGAAAACACCTAAGTTGGATTGAAAACTACAAGTCACCAAGTGATCTCCAACCCATTCGCCACAAAAACTACCTGTGGGTCACCTACAATTTTTGCTGATTCATCTAACGAGGTAGGGTATGTGGTTTCTTGTGCGTCTACCAGTATGTAGGATTTATACTTCCAGGATTTCCTATATTTATGAAAATAATGTCTCAGGCATGTCAATGTAGTGCTTCGTGTATCATAAACAATGCTCCAGCCATGTATATCATATTTGTTAACCTCTAGGCAGAAGCAGATGTGGCAATAGCTAAAAACATGATGTTCTGACATCAGATTTAACAAACATCTACATTTGTTTTTGTGTGAGTTGCAGGTGAGCTGCAAAATTATTTCCACTGTTTGGTGGGCTGTGGGTGTGAAAATGTTGAGGAAAACAGGTCTAAAGGACAGTTTCTACACCACCACACCTGTAGACTATGGGCTAGAGGTGGGCCGTGGGTGTACAAATGTTGAGGAACACTGGTCTAAAGGACAGTTTCTACACCAGCACACATGGAGACTATGTGCTAGAGGTGAGCCGTGGTGTAAAAATGTTGAGGAACACTGGTCTAAAGGAGCCTTTCTACACCACCACACCTGTAGACTATGGGCTAGAGGTGGGCCGTGGGTGTACAAATGTTGAGGAACACTGGTCTAAAGGAGCCTTTCTACACCACCACACCTGTAGACTATGGGCTAGAGGTGGGCCGTGGGTGTACAAATGTTGAGGAACACTGGTCTAAAGGAGCCTTTCTACACCAACACACCTGTAGACTATGTGCTAGAGGTGGGCCGTGGGTGTACAGATGCTGAGGAACACTGGTCTAAAGGAGCCTTTCTACACCAACACACCTGTAGACTATGTGCTAGAGGTGGGCCGTGGGTGTACAGATGCTGAGGAACACTGGTCTAAAGGAGCCTTTCTACACCAACACACCTGTAGACTATGTGCTAGAGGTGGGCCGTCCTAGACTTATATTCTCACAGACCTATCGGGCCAGAACATTAACTGGTAATCATGTTAGGCTGGAGGTAACATGTTAGTCTGGGCTGACATGGTCAATTCTGAAAACTATCTGCCCTGATGCTGATTCAGACCTAAGACTTTTGGTCAAGAGGCACTGATGACAGCTATAAACTGGGCAAAGTGTTGTCAGTTTTGTCAGTCAGGGATAGTCTTTTTTACTGTAGATGTACAGGTGCCTCCATTAGTGCTTCAGTTTCCTCCTATAGGTCACACAAACAGGATTTAATACAAGGTAGACATGTGTCACCGGGGCCCTTACGGGAAGCAAAGAATAGTGACACTGCACCCTACCAGGCATGTCGTAAAAGGCGACTAAGGGTAGGGTTGGGCTTGAGGTTGGCTATCTCATCCTGTAAAAACCATAGCCACAAAAACCAACCAAACATGGATAAGTCAAAAAGAGAAGCAAATAAAATCCAGCCAACCAATATTAGGGGAGGCTCTTCAAATAGAAGCAGTATGACACGGTGTGGACAAAGCCGTAAGGAGTCTGGATCGTTGACGTCCTCCTCTCAGCTAGGAAAACCTCCAGAATTGGCACCTGGAATGTTAGAATAAAGGAAGGCCAAAAACACACGGAGAAGAGAGCTGGAGAATGAAGTTAGAAAGATGGGGAGGACATGGGGAGAGCTCCATGCAATGGTGAAGGATAGAACGACTTTGAGTTGGTTGAGGGCCTATGCTCCATTGGGGGATAGAAAGGCAGAAGAAGACATCAGTCTAAATGAGGCACGATCGAATGAACAAACTTTGTTTTCAAAGGGTTAAAAATTGGGCATGATAGCCCACCGTACATTCAAGGCTCTTCTGGCCTCACTTTAGTCAGACTTTATTTTATACATACATAGTTTTATATGTAATTTTCTTCTCTTTGTGTTCAGCAACTGCAAACTCTAGCAGAAAGTTCTGGTTGTTCATCCGTCGCAGGACATGTTGCAGAACCTGAGCGTTGTATGCACATCCATTTTAGAGATCTGAAGTATCTGTGTGCAGAATGCTGGTTCCTTGTCTCTCAGGTAGAGGCACTCAAATTTCGAAGAAAGCTCCTAATTGGTGCACTCTTGAGACATGCTTGTTCAGGAGCAGTGGGTCTATTCTTCTTTCCTCCACAATGGGAACCCCAAACCCACATGGGGAGTCATATGTAATCACATGCTTTGTCGACACAAACTCAATATTGATTACAAACATTGGAATATGCTCAAATTAAGCCGACATTTGTAAACAATTCAAATGAAAACAACATTGAGCAATGAAAGCAATCCATTACAAATTGAACTATTCTTGTAGTCAGCTCTATTTCAACTTGTCATCTCCTTGTGAGATGCAATTTTTTGTTATTTGAAGGCCTACTCTGGCTCTTGCTAGGGGTAGCAATATAGCCCAGCCATAAATATGGTCTAATGGCTGAACGCGGTTTCTGGGACCTATCCACAGATAATCCACATCCACATGGTGGCCCTTTGTGTTATCAGGTGTTTATCGCTTGTGTGATGTTCTGGTAGGGTAAAAGAAGATAGATTAGATAGATAGATAGATATGGATGGATGGATGGATGGATGGATGGATGGATGGATGGATGGATGGATGGATGGATGGATGGATGGATGGATGGATGGATGGATAGATAGATAGATAGATGGATGGATAGATAGATAGATAGATAGATAGATAGATAGATAGATAGATAGATAGATAGATAGATAGATAGATAGATAGATAGATAGATAGATAGATAGATAGATAGATAGATAGATAGATAGATAGATAGATAGATAGATAGATAGATAGATAGATAGATAGATAGTCAGCTCTCAACACCAGCTGGCATCTCCATGACCGCCTTCAGACAAGCAATTCTCCATCTCTGTGTCTAACATTATGTTTCTGAATCAAAACCCAGCAACAAAACAAGTCCCATAAAAGTCAAGCAGCATTCATGTTTCTGACCCCTCAGATCATGCCAATGGCTCCTTCACTTGGCATGTAGCTTTGTCTCATACTTGTATATATCAGTCACACTTAAAGCTGATGCTGTCAATATTCTGCTAGCTACCTTATTCTTCTCTGGTTCTGCTTTGCCTTTCAGCTTCAGATTTTCAAAAGGCATCAGGTGACAGCCTTGGTATATGCTATGGAGGTACATGTAACAGTTACCTTCCCACGCCCCGCCCATATACACACTAGCTCACTTCTGATTGATAGTTCCTGAACCTATCACCTTAGCACAAGGTCACTGTGGTTGTCCACAATGCCGTTGATATCGGGTGTTGTATATTTCAGCACACAAACGTCTTTAACGCTCCAAAAACATGGAGAAACTGGCACTAGCACAAACTCCCCTATAGAGTGCAGCAAACTATGTCACAGGCATTCTCTTTCTCGGAATGAAAACGTAAATGCAAGACATCACACAAAGCAAACAACAGAGTGGAACACACCTGAAACCTTCAGGAACGTCAACAAACTTGTGAATGAAAAGTGACCTACTTTGTTCGGGGAGATTTACGTGAACCTAACTGCTATGGAAATGCTAGTATATACAGCCTCAGTTATTCTATGTATGCAAAGTTTGCGAGGTTAATCTCTAGCTCTGCTATCATTATGTCTAGGTGATAGGACTCTCTATGGTGCACTGATTCATTATGTCTAGGTGATAGGACTTTCTATGGTGCACTGATTCATTATGTCTAGGTGATAGGACTCTCTATGGTGCACTGATTCATTATGTCTAGGTGATAGGACTCTCTATGGTGCACTGATTCATTATGTCTAGGTGATAGGACTTTCTATGGTGCACTGATTCATTATGTCTAGGTGATAGGACTCTATGGTGCACTGATTCATTATGTCTAGGTGATAGGACTCTCTATGGTGCACTGATTCATTATGTCTAGGTGATAGGACTCTATGGTGCACTGATTCATTATGTCTAGGTGATAGGACTTTCTATGGTGCACTGATTCATTATGTCTAGGTGATAGGACTTTCTATGGTGCACTGATTCATTATGTCTAGGTGATAGGACTTTCTATGGTACACTTTCTGGTGGCAGTCTTGACACTTGTCCAAGCTATCTTTATTTCCCAAAACATTTCCTAGTCAACATGGATTAAAATGTCCTTGAAATACTAAATTTCTTTTCTAGCTTTTCCAGGACAGAAATATTATTGCAAAAATGTGCCAGATAGAATGGCTGAGGGGGATAGACTGTGCAAGATAGAATGGATGAGAGATAGACTGTGCAAGATAGAAAGGATGGGGTGATAGACTGTGCAAGATAGAATGGACGGGGAGATAGATTGTACATAATATAATGGATGGGGGGATTGACTGTGCAAGACAGAACAGATGAGGAGTTAGACTGTGCAAGATAGAATGGATGGGGGTTACACTGTGCAAGACAGAATGGAAGGGAGGATAGACTATGCAAGATAGAATGGATAGGGGGATAGACAGTGCAAGATAGAATGGATAGGGGGATAGACTGTGCTAGATAGAATGGATGGGGGATAGACTGCAAGATAGAACAGATAGGAAGATAGACTGTACAAAATAGAACAGATTAGGAGATAGACTGTGCAAGATAGAATAGATAGGGGGATAGACTGCAAGATAGAATGGATGGGGGGATAGACTGTGAGCCCTGTGTAACATGTAATGGCATAACAGGTCAAGAATGCTGAAATGTGCTGAGAACTGTAACATGATGATAGTCAACAGACCTACAGCAGTGTATGCTGGTTGCATTCTGAAAACAGATGCATTTTCGGTAGAGTAGCATGGTGACCAAACATTAACATCATTGTTGCAATCATTAACATGGGCAGCTGCATTGGTACAGTAGCTAGACACTCGTCTGTGGGCCCAAAGGTTGTTGGTTTAAATCCACACTATGCCAGATTTTAAAAAAATGACCTTGGCTCTCAGGTCGACCCAGCTAAAAAAAACTGGTACCAGGAAAAAGTCCAGGGAAGTAAAGGTGGCCAGCACGATGTTGACCACATCCCCCCGCCAAGTGCCGACTGGTCTATAAAACATAGGTCTAGCCCTATATACCCAATAATCTAAGGAGAAGGGGCCTTTACTATTGACATGACTCACCTGGGCCCAAAGGTCGTGGGTTCAGATCCACACTATGCCAGATTTTTCACACTATTGACATGACTCACCTGCGCAGAAATGTTATCTATGGCTACTTCAGAGGTCACAGGATAGCCATGTTTTCCTGTGTACTGTTTGCCTGCTACAGGACCAATCAACACTGTGTCTAGACCTGCCTCTTTCATGCGGTAGTAGGGGTACAGCAGCTGTAGACACAAAACATCACACTGAGTCTGGACTGGCATTTCTTTGTTATGTCATTCAATCATGAAATATATTATATATCTGTGTTGAGATATTACAGTTTTTGTTGTTGCTAGTTTTCATACCATTTTGCTTTGTTGCTTGTGATTCCACAATGTTTTTTGCATTCTAAAAAACAAAACAAAAATCATATGCTGTACTCATTGAGCTAGATGAAAACCATAAGCTGATAAAGAAATTTGACATAGACAGCGGTCTGTGTTTTTCAGCACAGACAGACATAAACAAAGACAGCACACACAGACATGCAACTCAGAGACATACACAAACACACAGAGACACACAGACATACACACCCACAGACACATACTGGGCATAGATGCATACACATACACACACTCATGCAGACACACACACATACATTAGGCATATATGTATACAGACATGCACATGTACACACAGACAGATGCACAGAGAAGAAAGAGAGAGAGAGAGAGAGAGAGAGAGAGAGAGAGAGAGAGAGAGAGAGAGAGAGAGAGAGAGAGAGAGAGAGAGAGAGAGAGAGATTTCATTAGTCATATGATGAGAAGAGAGCTAGCTACTGGAGAATATCATGTCAACTAGAAAGATCACATGTACAAGAGGCAGGCTGAAAGAAATGATGCTGGATGGTCCAAGATAGTGGTATGGAGGAATGTCAACAACACAATTCATTCATTATTATAAAGCCAGTCAGGCAACACTGTTTCATCCCTTGTGACTGAGTAGCTCCAATTTCAGGTTTGCTATTCCTAGCCTTTGACTGTCCCCAGTCCATTTGCAAGACAGGAAGTTTGTCTCTCTCTCTCTCTCTCTCTCTCTCTCTCTCTCTGTCCTTCCTTATTCCTGGATATTTTTTTCTTCTACTTCTTCTTCTTTTCCTTCTTTGTCTCCTTCTTGGCATTCTCCTGCTGTAAATTCTGACAGACAGTTCTGGTTGTTCATCCACTTCTGGACTTTGGTCTTGTTCCACAATTTGAGTTTTGTGTGCACATCTGTTTTACAAATCTGGTGATTCGACCTCCCCTCCACACCCACTACCCCGTGAGAATTCTTGAAAAAATCCTTGAAAAACATAACTTTTTCATAGATCGCTTATAATATTGTTTATTTTATTTATTTTTGGGTTTCAGGTTTGGGTCAAGAAGGTGGGACATGTTTCCTTTTAGCTTGCCTTAAGACTGTTGACTGATGTCCCAACAAGTCGCCATCTTAAAATTTTCTTTCTTTTAGAATCAGATTTCTAGCTCTAAATGTTATGATACTTTGACCCGTTGGGAAAAGTAAACGGGGAAGACCGAGAGAGACTCTACGTAGGACCATCATCAGAGAAAGCTCTACCATGGGCCTAAGAAACAACCAAGACCTAAAATAGGTGGCAACCAACAGCCAGACATGGAGAGCTATGAACTCTGCCCTATGTGTCACCCTAGGCTTAAGATAAAAGACTGACTAATTTAAGCACACTTTTGAATTTGAGGGGGGAAAGGGGGGGGGGGGGGGAATATACAAAGATTTATAAAAGGAGTAATCAATAAACACGAACAGAGTGAAGCATTAAACAGATTATATTTCCCAGGCCTAAAACATTTGTGCATCAGGTGTCCCATGTCGTGACCCCACCCCTGAGGCTTACGTGGAAATTTGATGGTAACTTGGCTTTGTATTTGGTTCAAAGAAAAACCCTCCTAAATATGATTTTTAGTGTTTGAAAATAGTTAATAGTTAATATATTCACATCCTGACAGTGTTTTTCATATGATAACGACTAGATTAGCAAAACATTCTCAGTCTGGACAAAGAAGTTTTGCGATCAGGGCAATAAGAAGTTTATTTTTAAAAAATAATTTTAAAAAAAAAGAAATGGGAGAAATATATTACTCTGACAGGTGGATGCTTAGAAATTGACTTGACTTGACAGTTTCCAAGTGAATGCCTTGATTTTTTCACACAGCAGGGCAAATGTTTTTTTTTAAAAACAATTCCTTGTACTATTGAAAGGTTTCTCAATACAAATTATTATATAATATTTTTTATTCAAATAAATTACCTCTGGTTCTTCAAAACTGAATTCCACCAATATTCCAACTTTTAAAGATCTGGCCATTGTTAGAGCAGTGTAATGTTGCAGTTGGGAAGACAATGTCCACTAGATGTTTGCCAGTGTCTGAAAAAAACAAAAACATGGTAGTTTCATGCAAAAAAACCGATATATCCTGGATTTGAGGCATGATCGCCCACGCCAGTCGGCAAGGCACCTGATGATGATGATGATCCTGGATTATAGCTCTTGGTAAATTCTGGACTCCTGAAAGTGGCTAACATTTCTTTAACATGTATCCGACCTCCCGTAATTGACACACAACTTTAGATGAAATAAAACATGTGGCCTGCATTACATTCCAGTATTTCTACAAGTCACACCTGGTAATCCAAGTGTTAATAATCCGCTTAATTCAATCCATCCTTATGCTTTATTACATCAATCAATCCCTCTGCTTTATTACATCAATCTATCATTATTCTTTATTACAATAATGGAGTCTGTTGGCAACAAAAATAACAACAGAATGTGCAGAGAAAGCATGATAACTCTAATTTCTGGCAGCCCAGTTGCGCTAGTTACATCCTAATTAATAATCATCTCTCTCAGAAGTGAAAGGCTATTACAATCTGCTGGTTGCTGAACGAGGAGAAGGGAATGATTCTGCAACACAGTCTCCTAGCAGCTGACATACTGATAGTGTGGTTATGGATAAGAAGAACAACCTCTATGCCAATCAAATTTCCACAGATGTGCGTCTTGTCAGGGCTAAAATAGCCAGAAAACCAATGGACATGGCTTTAGAAAGGATACAATTGTCCAGAGGATGTAAATTAGTAATTATAAAATTCAACACTTGGGGTTATAATTGGGATTTAAAGTGTTCACCAAGTTCTCATAGGCGGCCCTAAATCATCAGTCTAAGGCCCCCCTGTCTACAACGCCCTAAAAGAGTGGTAAAACAGACAGCACAGCTCAGTACTTAGTTCTCAGTTCTTTTCTGTTTATTGACCACATCACGCATGATTTAGGGACATCCCATATTATAGGGGGGTTAGTGTTAAATGAATGGCGACTACTACTAACCCTAACCGCCCTATTTCTTATTCTTCTTCTGCGTTTGACATCAGTCATGCTAGACATTGAGTCCCGTCTGGGTCACAAATAGGATTGTGCGTTTAAGGTCGCCACCGGTCCCCCATAGCTTCTCTTTCAATGTGGCTCCCTTGGGCCAGATCCACAGTCTTTGCTGGGAGAGGTTAGGGCAGTACTGTAGTATATGCCCAAGGGTCTGTCGTTCTGCTCCACAATCACAGGCAGCAGATTCTTTTATGCTAACCCCCTATAATATGGGATGTCCCTAAATCACACATGATGTGGTTGCTAAACAGAAAAGAACCAAGTTCTCAGAGTATATTTCTATTATTTTATACATATTGTGCAAATATTTACTTAGCGACATTTACATAATTTGTATATTTATTTGAAATATTGTCCTGCTCATATCAGAGAGTTCACACACTAGAGGACTGACAAAGGATTCCAGAGGATTTATAAACAAGCAAATATTTCTTTGAATTTGATTTCTCTCATAAAATGCTCTTATCTCATCTCATTGATGGCACAAAGATAATCTCTACAATTGGACGGAAAAGGGTGATTGACTTTGATGCGCTTGACAAAAAAACTGAAAGTGAAACTATATAAATGAACATTTTTAATGCCGTGGGGTGCATATAATTCTAATACTATAATTTACAGGGCAAGAAACATTCAGTGGATGATCTGGACAAAATGGGTCGGGAACATTTCCGTCTATTCATATTAATATGATATTTTGGGGGTGCTCGGACTCGGACGATGTGCTGCACAAAATGAAACAACATACTGAACACGGTCAATAAGTTATAAAGAATAAATAAATAAACCTAAATTACAGGTAATTAAAGTACTACTAGACGAAATGAAAAAAAAAAACATACGTTTCAGCCAACATTATTATTTATAATTATTTATATAGAAGGTACACTGCTAAGGAGACAGAAAAGACGTTTGTGCAAGCGTACGTAGTAGGGTAAGTAAAACGACGAATTTTAGTTTTAGTTTTAATAAGTTAGCAATAAGTAACACTACTGATTCACCCAGCTTATTCAAATTTCACGACAGAGGATCTCAGTCATTACTAAAAAAAAAAAAGTAGCAGTTATTACTTCAACCATCTGTGAACACAATTCTCAGAAAGGGTTAAAACAAAACGTTACTCACTCACCGGGTTTTCTCTCTCTCTCCAAGACCAGAAGCGAAAGTCGACGTCTGCTCGAGTGAACTTTACACCTGAGAGTGGCTTCCCCTGCCATCTTCAAACACATCAATTCATCATCAACATCATCACGAGCCGTGCTATATAGCGTAGCGGAGTTTTCAATACAAATCTTGTTATGGTATGTCTCCACAATTACAAGAAGGAGACGACAACAACAATGCTTATTTTCTCATCCCCTTTTCAAAGTATGTGTGTGATTCAATCCCCCAATCTTTCTCTTCATCTGCAATCGCCATTGAAAGGGCATTTGGTGCATTGATATTGTGTTGTAGTTTACAGCTATGCTGCGATATCTTCATTTTTTGGTCCAACACATGTGATTTCAGCGAACGCCCTAATTATTAGCCCATATGTCAGGCTTACCATGGAGAGTGAGGTGCAGTGTGTATTCCTTCCCCCTCAAAATGAGGCCCCAGAACCCTGCTGCAGATCTAATTAAGTAGAGAGAGAAATAAATTCCCACAAATTCTAACATGCACAGTCCCTGGCGCAGAGGTACCAGTCTAAATCCCAGGTTCAAAACATCCCTTCCCCCATGTACAAAACAAAAATGAAAGAAATATGGGACACAACAATAATCCTAAATTTACCTTATC